CCCGACATCCCACAGCCAGGATCGGCGCACACGCCGTCATGGTTTTGGGGGGGGGGGCGGGGGGGCATGCACACAGCTCTCCTGGGCCCAGGGGTCGGAGGGGCCGGCAGCGGTGAGGTGGTCAGTTGACGCCGCCCAACCAGTCGGGGGGGTCCTCGGGCCAGCCGCGTGCAGGGGGGGCACGTGGAGCTTCCCGGGGCAAGCAGGTCAGGTGTCCGGCCTGCCACCAGGCAGATCTAGCATGCCCGCGGTTCGATCGGCTCGCTCCGATGAAGGCAGAGGGGGGGTTCTCGCCTGGGGATCGGTCCTCCTCCTCCTCCTCCTCCTCCTCCTCCTCCCCTCCTCCTCCTGCTCCTCCTCCCCTCATCCTGCTCCTGCTCCTCCTCCTCCTCCTCCTCCTCCTCCGCCTCCTCACTCCTCCGCTCCTGCTCCTGCTCCTGTTCCTCCTCCGCTCCTCCTCCTCCCCCTCGTCCCGCCTCCCCCCTCCTCCTCCCACTCATCCTCCCCCCCCATACCTCCCCCTCCTTCTCCCCCTTCCCCTACCCCCCCTTTTGCCCTCGCCCCTCCCCTCCTCCTCCTCCTCCCCCTCCTCCTCCCCCCACCCTCTGCCTCCTCCCCCTCCTCCCATCCCCCTCCTGGGGATTGGGAGGCTGGCTGGCTGCACTGGGCTTCGGGTGCGTCGCAGACGGTTGCGTTGGGTCGGTTCGGTTCGCTCGATCGTCGTGTGCTTGCCGCGTTGCTTCGACATTCCAGGCTGCCCGTGGCCGTCGTGCTCGGTCTGGTGTGCCATCGGATCGGTCAGCTTTCTCGGTCTTGATGTCGCCGTTGGACGGCCTAGGACGTTCCTGGCCGTCGCGAGACATGTCTCAGCCTGCTGCAGTCTCGCCTGTCTCACGCCGTGCTGGTTCCAGTTGGAGCGGGAACTGCCTCTAGCACTTCACCTGTGCGTCCGACCGTGGCCGTTGCCGGCAGCATGCCTCCTGCTGCTACCGCCTAACCCCCTCCGGCGCCGAGGCGCCGAGCGCTTCCCCGGCATGACCATCACGTACGCCCTCATCCAGATGGTGGAGAAGGCTCGGCGGACGTGGCCAGGCCTCTGTCGTCACGATTTGCCTCGGCGCCGGTCTGCGGCGCAGTCGGGGCCAGGGGAGGCCCACTTCGGGCCACGGGGGCACGGCAAGGAACGGCCCGGTGACGCGGGCTCGATCCGGGAGAAGGGGGGTCGCGAGCTATGGGGGGGCGCACGTCGCGAACAAATCGTGAGGTCGGAGGTCCTCCTCCTCCTCCTCCTCCTCCTCCTCCTCCTTCTGGGAGGAGCCGTCGGAAAGGAGGGCTCTCCCGTTGCGGGGGGCGCTTGTCCCAGGACGTAGAGACACTCCGTGGCCCCGATGGCGGCTGATGGGCGTGGGACACGCGTCCCCCGCGGTGAACCGCGTCGTTTTGCGCTGGTTTTCGTCCATCGCAAGGTCGCGGAGAGGAGCGACAAGGCGCGCATCATCACCAAGGCGAAGGTCACCAAGCTGCTGACCGCCAACAAGGCGTGCGTGGGCTGCGTCTACGAGAAGGGCGGCGCGGAGTTCCAGGATCCTCTTCCCTCCTGCTTCTTGCGCGCTGCCTTGCTTCTGGCCCAGTGGCCGCAGAGTCTCTAGCGATGAGCACGTCGGACTGTGGGGGGGAGATCTAAGTGCCACAGGGTAGCAGTGAGGAGCGCGGTGCGTGCCCAAAACCTGAAAGGAAGGGGGAAGAGGAAGGGACGAGCTGAGTTCCCCGCGAGGACATCGAGGCGGGCACAGCGGCAAGGTTTCCCCTTCACCCGCAAATCTGCATGCTCCTCGGCCTCCTCACCTGTGCCTCCCTCTCGTCCTCGTCCCTCCGCCTCCTCCTCAATGATGCCAGGAGCACGGCCCCGTGATCCTGGCCACCGGCGGCTTTGGTGCCGACTTCACTAGCAACTCGTTGTTGGCGCAGTATCGGCCAGACCTCATGCACCTGCCCACCACCAACGGCGAGCACTGCACCGGCGACGGGATCAAGATGGGAGAGGCCGTTTTCTTCCTGGTCATATTGTTCCCTCCTCGTCGCCGTCCTCCTGTTCCCAGTTATGCTCCTATTCCTCGTCCTCCTCGTCTCTTAATACCCATACCCCTACCTCAATGTGTACACGTAGTCCTTATACGTCAATTCTGGTCTCATTGCTCACGCCACATACTTGTACTTTTACTCCCGCTCGCAACCATACGCCTACAGCCGGCACGAGGGGTAAGAGCAGCCTTAGGTTGAGAGGTGTGCCTTCATGTTCTCAGTGCGTGGGCTCTCCACCTTGGAATGATCCTCATGTTTTCTCCTCGTATTCTTATTACTGGTGTTATTAGTGTTAGTCCCATTATTCGTCGTATTGATATTATTACTGATACCATTATTAGTGTTATCATTATTATTATTATTCCTCCTCCTCCTCCTCCTCCTCCTCCTCCTCCTTACCCGCCGAGGGGGCCCATCAACATGGCCCCCTCCCCCCCGAGAGGTCGCTGTTACGAATAGGGGAACAAAAAGTGGCATAAACATAAAAACTCGGAGGTCCGCGCGGATTTCTCGGATCGGCGCTGGGGCCCCCCGGCGGCGCCTCCGGCGCCGCCCCTGGCGCGCTCCGCGCGCCAGGGAGGGGGGTCCAGCGCCGATCCGAGAAATCCGCGCGAACCTCCGAGTTTTTATGTTTACGAAGGATTCCCCCAAAAGGACTCCCCCCGAGAGGTCGCTGTCACGAAGGGTTCCCCAGAAGGGGCAAGGCGCACAGCGCCCCCAGTTGTGGCACCGACGATCGGGCCAGACGAAAGGGAGGGATTGGGAAAGGGGGGGTTACGAAATCTGCTGCATGCGGCTGGTTTCGGCCCCACCGAGGGGCCCAGTCCTCGATACATAGCCGCCTCCAGCGCCGGGAGGCGCCGGGAAAATCACCCACGTGAGCTGATTCTCAAACCCCCCCTTTGCTATCCCCCCCTTACGCCCGACCCGAGATGACCTCCTCCCGGCTGGGAAAAGAAGAGGAAGGGAAGCGTAACGATGTTTGCTCACACCGAACCAGCCAGCACGCGCGCGTAACTGGAAACGGAAGTGCGTGGGCGGGGCGGAAACACTCACACGATTCCGCTCTCCATTGGTGCGCTTGCATTCGTCTCAGAATGAGTATGAGTTGGTCATGAGCATGCAGGGGTGGAGTCAGATTCTGACTCCGCCCCCGTTTCAGCCATTGTTTCGGTTGCGTCTTTCTCCCCCTCTTCTTCTCTACTTCGCATTCCTCCCCGCCGAAATCATCCCTTGTCGTCCTCTGGAAGGCCATCGGCGCGAAGTCGGTCGACTTGGAATGGGTGCAGGTGCACCCCACTGGCCTGGTGAAGCCTGACGATCCGGACGCGAAGATCAAGTTCTTGGCCGCCGAGGCGTGCCGTTGTTTCTCCTTTTGTTGTTGATCATGCCCATGCCCAGTCTTGCAGTAGTTCTCTTACATGTCCACAGCATCTCCATCGTCCTCGTCCTTCTCCACGTCTCCCGCGTCCTCTTCCCCCTGGCCGCCGAGGCGCTCCGTGGCGTCGGCGGTCTTGTGCTGGATGCGAATGGCAAGCGCTTCGCGAACGAGCTCGGACGACGCGACTACGTCACAGGCGAGATGTGGAAGAACAAGCCGCCCTTCCGGCTCTGCCTGAACAAGGCTGCGTCCTCGGAAATTTCATGGCACTGCAAGCATTACACCGGCCGCGGCGTCATGAAGTTCTACGAGACCGGCGAGTCCCTCGCCAAGGACATGGGTGTCCCCCTTTCCGTGCTGGAGCAGACACACGCCGAACATTACCAGGCTGCCAAGAAGACAGAGAAGGATCCAGACGGTGGCTCCTATCCAGCCTACCCCAGCGGCAAGTCTTGGGACGAGGCGAGCGGGAAGACGGGTTCGGGCAAGAAGTTCTATCATAACATCATCGACGGTCCAGCTGTGAAGACCGAGCCTTTCTACGTGGCCATCATCACGCCAGTGATCCACTACTGCATGGGTGGTCTCGAGATCGACACAGACTCTGCCTGCCTCGATGCAAACGGCAAGGCCATCCCCGGATTGTACGCTGCTGGGGAGGTCGCCGGCGGCGTGCATGGCAACAATCGTTTGGGCGGCAATTCGCTGCTGGACTGCGTGGTATTCGGCCGTGTGGCTGGCCTTGCCGCGACCAAGTACATGCTGGGTGATGGTTGCAAGCCAGTGAGCCTCAAGGACCTCTCTGGTGGAGGCCTCACCGGCGAGGTGAAGGCGTCCAAGAACGCAGGCGGGTCATACGAGGATGGCATGAACAAGGCCGATGGTGCCGCCAAGCCGAAGAAGGAGAAGAAGGAGAAGAAGGAGAAGAAAGAGTCTGGTGGCGGTGGCGGCGGCATCACCATGGCGGAGGTCGCCAAGCACACCAGCAAGACAGACTGCTGGGTAGTCGTGGCTGGTGAGGTGCTCGACGTGACCTCGTTCCTGAGCCAGCACCCTGGAGGCGAGCTGGCCATCCTCACGTTCGCCGGGAAGGACGCCACCGAGGAGTTCAACATGATCCACCCTCCCGACGTGATCCCGAAGTACGCCCCTGACGCCGCCATCGGCAAGCTTGGGGCAGGCGGAGGTGAGGACAAGCCGAAGAAGGAGAAGAAGGAGAAGAAGGAGAAGTCTGGCGGCGGGGGCGGCGGCATGACCATGGCGGAGGTCGCCAAGCACACCAGCAAGACAGATTGCTGGGTAGTCGTGGCTGGTGAGGTGCTCGACGTGACCTCGTTCCTGAGCCAGCACCCTGGAGGCGAGCTGGCCATCCTCACGTTCGCCGGGAAGGACGCCACCGAGGAGTTCAACATGATCCACCCTCCCGACGTGATCCCGAAGTACGCCCCCGACGCCGCCATCGGCAAGCTTGGGGCAGGTGGAGGTGCCGACGAGGAGGACGACTCGGACGACGACTCGGACTCGGACGACGACTCAGACTCGGACGAGGAGGAGGAAGTCGGTGGCGGCGGCGGCGGGTACACCCTGGAGGAGGTGGCGAAGCACACCAGCAAGACCGATTGCTGGGTCATCCTCGGCGGGAAGGTGCAGACTCTTCATCCGCTGATCCTCCTTCTTGCTCCGTCATCCCCCATCCCTCCCTCTCACCTTCGTTCCTTCAGTTTCTTCATCCTCGTCGTCCTTCCATTCCTCCTCCTCCCCCTCCTCCTCTTCGTCCTCCTGCCTGTCCTCGTCCTCATCCTCCTTCTCGGCCTCCTCCCCCTCCTCCTCCTCCCCCTTGTCATCCTCGTCTGCATCGCTATCCGCTGTCCTCTCTGTCCACCTCGTTCTCTCCGTCCTCATCACCGTCCTCCCAGTCATCGTCCTCCCAGTTCCCTCCGTTGTCCACCTTTCCTTCCTCTTGGCTCCCCTTCGTAGAATTCCCAAACAGTGCTTGCACTTAGGGGTTCTAACTTGTCTTAAAGGAACTGGGCCGTGTGGTCGGTCTGGCGGCTATGTAGTCGCCGTCGCCGCCTCGTCGCCGCCCGTCGTCTGGGCCGTGTGGTCGGTCTGGCGGCTATATAGTTGTTGTCGCCGCCTCGTCGCCGCCCTTGGATTGCACCACGTATATAAGACGAAAAAATGTCGCACCTGCGGCACGACATTCTTGTTCGCTCACAACATAAATGGTACCGCACATATTGCACGATCTAGATTGCACCACGTGCATTGCACAACCACATAGACTTCACCACATGGATTGCACAACATGTATTGTACTACACCTAGTGCACATCATAAGTTGCACCACAAAAAGGTGCAGACCATGGATTGCACAGCGTAGTTTGCACCACATAGGTAGCATCACACCGGTAGCACCACATATAGTGCATCGCACTGACTGCACCACAACGTCCTAGAGAAATTGCAGTGCATACATTGCACAACTTGGATTGTATCACATGAATTGCATTAGATGTATTGCGCCTCATAGGTTGCACCACGTATATTGCTGGAATCATTGGTTGGGATCTACGCTAGCTAACATACGTGTATACATGTGCGTATGTACATACACTCTGCCACCTAGCCGCCTGACAGTCGCCCAATCTGGGATGTTCCATCCGTTCTATCAAAAACAACAATATTGCGCAGTTCCTCTTGACAGACGTGTTGCCATTGACGTTGAAGTCCTGCGTGGCGGGAATGGGACAGAGTGCACATCGCGCGCGATTGAACGAAATGTCGTTCTCGCCTCAGCGCAGCGCGCATTTGTCATGATCCCGCATGGGCGGGACGCACACTCTTCGCCCTCGCCGAAGTGCCACGTAGGTCCCGCGCGAAAGTGGCACCGCGGCTTCAACGCGGCACATCCTTTGTTCCCTTTTCCACCGTCATGGGCGAGTGTTCCGCCCGAGGGACGGCTCGGTGGTGCTCTCTCCGCAGCGCCGCGCGGAGAGGTCTTCTGGAGGCTCCGCTCCCGCCCGTGCCTGGCCAGTGCTTCGCGTCCCCCTCGCCGGGTCACGAGCGTTCTCCATCCGTTCGGTGGGAACACGCGCCAGTCCCAACATCAAGCAGCGGCGCCAGTGGCTCTCCCGCTGTGGGATGGGAGGGAGTCTGGGCGGGGCCCGCTGGCTCGTTCGGCCTGGCTCATTGAGCTCCTCCGCCTCCTCCCTCCTCCTCCTCCTCCCCTCCTCCTCCTCCTCCCTCCTCCTCCTCCCTGCTCCTCCTCCTCCCCCTCCTCCTCCTCCTCCTCCTCCTCCTCCTCCTCCTCCTCCTCCTCCCCGTCCTCCTCCTCCTCCTCCTCCCCCTCCTCCTCCTCCTCCTCCTCCTCCTCCTCCTCCTCCTCCTCCTCCTCCTCCTCCTCCTGCTCCTTTCATGTCCATTCCCCCATCCGACCCCCTTGGGTATCTTTACCCCAGACCTCTCCTGGGGCGCTTTCTGACCAAGATTTGGAAGTGAATCCAGCCGCGGCGACGAAGAAGGCCCGCGAGGGCCTGGAAGAGGAGGAGGAGAAGGAGATGTCTTCCACCCCGTCTCCCTCCCCTCCCCGCCTCCTCCCCGTGGAGCATGAGGAGAACGGAGAAGAGAAGGCAGGATGCGAAAGATGACGGCGACCAATGTCTTCGGAGGTCTCCTCGGGTGCTTGGAGGTCCTGGTTATGCTTCCGAGGTCCGAAAAAGTGAGACATCGTTGGAATATTTCGAACCGTTCGCCGCGGCAATTCAAAGGGGCTCTTACGTCCCTCCAAGACCCGCAGAGTGCATCTATGCAGCATTACCATGCTTGGCCAGAGCCATTCTGGGCCCTGGCGTGGTGTGTACGCCCACTTCGCTGACACACTGGGAGGGCTGATATCAGGCAGAAATCGCCCCAGAGCGGTGTGGAACGCCCTCAAAGCGTTCCAGACCGCTCTGGAATGGCAGCGGCGCCTGAGACACCCTCCAGACCCGCCGGCCCTCAGATATTCCTGACATGCTACCGTCCGAGCTGATCCACGCCTCCTCCTCCTCCTCCTCCTCCTCCTCCTCCTCCTCTTCCTCCTCCTCCTCCTCCTCCTCCTCCTCCTCCTCCTCCTCTTCCTCCTCCTCCTCCTCCTCCTCCTCTCCTAATCCTCCTGCCTCCTCCTCCTCCTCCTCCCTCCTCCTCCTCCTCCTCCTCCTCCTCCTCCTCCTCCTCCTTCCCCCTTCCCTGCCAAGGCCAAAGTCTACGCCCCACCCCGCGGCCTGGGGTGTCCCTGCCACGGCCCGGGACCCGTGGCCTCTTCTCCAGTCACGAGAGCGGGCCTTTCTGGGAGCCCCAGCGGGTCATTGGTGTCGGTGCTGGTGGGTCTTTGTTGAGCACGCAGCGTGCCGCGCGCCGCGTGGGCGGGCCGCGGCTACTGGCGCGCGACGTTCCACGGTGTCGCCAGCCCCAGCTAGCCCCGCGTTGCTTCCACGGTGCCGCTGTCTGCATCCGCCCGCTTTACTTCCGCGTGCTTCTGTGTGCCGCCACCTGAGCGACACCATGAAGGACGTCTAAGACGATCCTGCCTTACCTGGTTCATACCGTGACCCAGACATGTGGGGGAAAAAAAGTGGCGCTTCCCAGAGATCCAGCATGTTGAAAAAATCAAGACGGCGGTTTTAAGCATATTTCGGCCCCTGGGGGCCCTCGCCCGGCCTCGGGACCGTCATAACGACTCAGGATGAAAAACCAGTCGTGGGGAATGGGTCAAGACTCCTGAGGACACTGTATTGGAAAATTCACGAACGACATTGGATCTGCGGGCTCCTCCTCTCGGAGAGCAGTGCTGCATGAGCATCAGCGTTGAGAGGTCCGCGCAGATGTCTCATGGCCGGTGCTGGACGCCCTGGTTCTGGCCCCCTCTCGGCTACAGGCGCTGAGCATAACCAGGGGTGGACAGTACCATCAATATATCAGTATCATTATCATTGTCATTGCCATCGTCGTAGGTGCTGGACGTCACCAGCTTCTTGTCGCAGCACCCAGGGGGCGAGCTCGCCATCCTCACGTTCGCCGGCAAGGATGCCACGGCGGAGTTCGACATGATCCACCCGCCCGACGTGGTCGGCAAGTACGCACCAGACGCAGTCATCGGCGACGTTGGCAGCGGCGGCGGAGGCGGCGCGAAGAAGAAGAAGGAGAAGAAGTCCAAGAAGGGCGGCAAGCCTGTCGTCATGGACAAGGGCGACAAGATCGCCAACCACCAGGCCTCCCTTCCCCACCTCCCCCATTCAGACATGAGGGAGGCAGGGAGGAGGCAGGGAAGCAGAGCGCCCCTCTTCTGATTACTCCGCCTCTTCCTCCATGCCCAAGGCCTGGGGGCACCTCGACGGCCGGGACAACTGGCGCGAGGGCGTTATGGACAGCAACCCGGGCGTGTTCCTGATCAACGTGCGCCGCCTAATCACGTAGCATCGTTCCATTAGTTTTGCGTGTTCTCTTCAATCTTGCACCCCTTCAGCCCTCACGTCTTGTCGTCCTCCCTCCGACATTCATCCCTCTCACTCCTCATCCTCGGCCCCGACCTGCTGCTGCTCATCCCTCCCACCCGTCCCCCACATCCTCAGATTCATCCTCGACCGCATCCTCCTCATCCCTCCTACTTCTCATCCCCCTCCTTCCTCCTCCAACTTATCCCTCCCTCACCATTCATCCCGATCCATCGACCTTGTCTTTGTCCTCCACATCCTGTTCCTCCCCCACATAGCTCCTCCTCCTCCTCCTCCGCCTTCTCCTCCTACCTCTCACAGCTCACTTTCGTCCCTCCTCGATCTTGTCTGTTGTGTCCTCCGCCGCCTCCTCGCTACCCCACATCCACCTTCGTCCTCGTCGTCGTCGTCGTCCTTCTCATCCCCCCCTTCTGTATGCTGGCTCTCGCTCACTCGATTCGTCGCTCAATTGCCCTTCTTGCCCCTCTGATGCCCTTTGTCCCTTCTGGGAATCTCTTAGCCAGTCGCGCCTGCGCCCCCCGAGTCATGGAAACGAGCCCGGCGCCGAATCCCAGGAGACCAACGGTTGCGCCCCCGACCCTCCCGGGGTCCATGTCGATCCGATCGATCCGATTCGATGTCGATTCCAGCTCGCCCGATCCGATCCGATGCAAATCGGGGGGTGCTGAAGGTGCCCTTGGCCCAAGGTGCCCTCAGCTCTTCGCGAAAGTTCGGAGCGCCCGGGTCCTCTGGGCCTCGTGAGGGGGGGTGCTCCGGAGGCCGCGGGGGCCTCCCATGGAATCCTGGGAGCACCCTTGGGCCAGGGGTACTCCTGGCAGCGGGGCAGGGGGGGAGGGGGGGAAGGTTTCTCAGGAGCACCCTCCTCCCTCCTCTTCATCCTCCTCCTCCCTCCTCTCCTCCTCCTCCTCCTCCTCCTCCTCCTCCTCCTCCTCTCCTCCTCCTCCTCCTCCTCCTGCTTCTCAGAAGGCGCGGGCCTTGCCTGTAGCTGTAAGGCCGGCGCCTTCTGAGAAGCAGCCTCCTTCTGAGAAGCCCTTCCCCCTCCCCCATTACCCCCCGCTGCGCGTGGCCAGGGTGCGGCCCGGTCTGGCACACGTCCCGGTTCGGATCTCAGTTGTCGAGTCGGCGTCGGCCGCTCGTGCCTCCGGCCCGCTCCTCGGCCCCCTCCTGCCTCGTCCTCCTTGTCGCCCTCCTCCCAGCAGTCTCCTCCTCATCCCTCTTTCCGTTATCTCCCCTTGCTCACCCATCTCGTCGCACATCGCCCCCATAGCCGCCCCCGCTCATCTTGCCGCTCCTCCTCCTCCCCTCGATCTCCTCCTGACGCAGCAGGTGCGGGGGCATATTTCTCATCCTGGATCCACTCCTGATGGCCCTGGGGCCCGAAAACGGCCACCGGAGGCCGAAATGAAGGAGAAACGCCGCGATTTGGAACAGTGAGACCCCACAAGATGCGCGCGCTCCTCGCTCCCATGAGATCTGACGTCGCGAAAAAAATACGACATCGTGGAAAGCCGCAGCAGGAACCCTAGACGCCAACCTGCTGCGGCACTCCTCGAACCGGACCTCGATCGGTGAGAGGCCCAGGGCTCGAGTCCATGCGAAAACGCCCCGTGTGAAAAAGTGTGACGCCCAGATCTGGCGGGCACTTGGCCTTCGGGTCATAGTTCGGGCCTCCGGCGGCCGTCCAGGGGCGACTCGGGCACCTCCCGAGCGCTCTCGGCAAGGCGCCTTTTGCCAGCGAGCACCCCGAGGCGGGAGACCTTCCAAGATCCAGCGAGAGCATCCGAGGACCGGCGGCACCACGGGGCTCGGGCCGCGGGGCCCCCTCCCTGACCCAGGTGCGGGCCTACTTCTACGCCGCCTGGTACCTGCTGAGCGCCGTCCTCTACGAGGCCTGCCAGGGCGGCCTCCTCCTCCTCCTCCTCCTCCTCCTCCTCCTCCCCCTCCTCCTCCTCCTCCTCCTCCTCCTCCTCCTCCTCTTCCTCCTCGGGGGTGGAGCAGGGGCAGCGCGAGGCCGACACCCCCGTGCCAGCGCAGCAGGGGGGGAGACTGAGCTCGAGACCCGTTCCAGCTCGGCGGTCGTGTTGAACTAGCGCGGGTCTTGAGCGCCCCCGCCTGGTCTGCAGTCGCACTCTCACCTCCTTGCCGTCTTCCGTCTCTTCTTCTTCTTCCTCCTTCTCCTCCTCCTCCTCCTCCTCCTCCTTCTCCTCTTCAGTCGCCTCTGCCCCCTGCACCCCCGTCGGAGGCTCTCTTCCTCGAAGAGGAGGAGCAGCCCCTCGTCCCCGCATGTGCTGACGACGATGCCGAGAGTTCAGATTGAGAGGGAGTTGAACTCTTCGTTCTGCCATCGGCATGGTCCCCTTCATCTGGGGGCATGTAGCCGTGGAGATTTCAAAAATTCCCCCTGAGGCTTCTCGGGAGCCATTTACAGACGTGCTGGGGGCACGTCAGGGGTGTCGGGGCCGTCTCGGGCGCGATGGTTTCATTGAGCTTTCCAGGAACCATCTTGGAGACGTCATGTCGGATCTTCGAGCCCCCTTGGGCCGTCTTGGAGAGGGTTCTTGGGCAGTCTTCGGGCCGTCTGGGGACTCTCTTGGGGCAGGTTTCGGCCGGCTTGGGGACTCTTGGGCCAAAGGTTTTGGGGTTCATTGAAGTTTCTCCGAAGCGTTCTGACGCCGAAAGCCCTGGAAGCAAAAATCGTGAGCCTCGCTCACTTGGAGGCTTTCTGGGACCTCTTGGGCTTTGGGGGAAGATCCTGAACCTGTGAGAGATCGTTGGGCCCGCGGGGGCGGCGGCCCCCCCCGCAGTGCTCGCACGAAGGCTGCCGGCCCGGGGCCCTCCCGCACGCGGCAGCGCGCGCGCGCGGCTCCTCGGGCACGGGAGGTTATAGCCTTGAGTCGGGCCTGTCCCTCTGCAGGAGGAGTATTCCAGAATATTTGTTTTTTGAATCGTATCGGGGACGACGTTTTCTGGCATTGGTTGACTACTCGTTGTGAATATGTGTGAATATGTTGTGGATACTGGTTGACTTTTTCAAGAATCTGTTGTGAATATTTGTTGACTACTCTTCGTTTGTCGCCAAAAATCCCCCTGTAGAGGGACAGGCCCGACCCAAGATTGGCCGCGCCCCTGGCCACGGAGCGCCATCTCTGGATGCTCGCCGAGTCGGGCGAAGAGAACTATGCACACGCACCGATCCTGGCAAGGCCCAGCCTTGACCCAGGATCGGTGCATGTGCCTCCCTTGCCAAGGCAGGAGGGCGTATGCACCGATCCTGGGCTCATGATGGGCCTGGCCAGAATCGGTGTATGTGCATAGTTCAGGAGGAAAATAACACACGGACATAATCAATCGTCGATCCCCCAGAAGAAAAGATGGGAAACCAATTGGAAGTGGGGGGGAAAACAAAAACCCAGAACATATAGAAAAAGGTTGGAAAGATTTCTATTCGTGTGCATTCATTTCTGTGTCCTGGGGCCCCTTCAACAGCTGTTTGCTCCTCCACCGAGCTGGCCCGCCAGCAGCGAGCGCGCACGCCCCCAGCCCTGTCGAGGGGAGGAGGCACGCCCCGAGCGCCCCAGAGGGGCGGCGTGCGCGGGGAGCGGGCCCGGGGCGGCCGCTGCACGGCCCTGCCCTGCTCGGTGCTTTCCCCCTGGGTGCGTTTGGGAAACGGCGTCGCTCGTCGGGGTGCTACGTGTGTCAGGGGAGCGAAGAGTGGCACAAACATAGCAACTCGGAGGTCCGCGCGGATTTCTCGGATCGGCGCTGGGCCCCCCGGGCGGCGCCTCCGGCGCCGCCCCTGGCGCGCTCCGCGCGCCAGGGAGGGGGGTTCCAGCGCCGATCCGAGAAGTCCGCGCGGACCTCCGAGTTGTTATGTTTATGCCATTTGTCGCTCCCTTGTCGGAAACTGGAACATATACATTACCAGTGGCGGGTTGCTTTCTCAATCCCACGACTTTTTGAGTGTCGGGGATGACGTCGGGGGTCGGGGTGGTGTGGTGTATAGTTTTTCCCCGTTCTCTAAGGGGAACCACGAAAAATGTATACACCAGGATCCCGTGTACACCAGGGCCCGCTTTCCTGTGCAAATTCCAGTGCAGGGCCGCAAAACGCATCGGTGTACAGAGTTCGGCTCCCTACGAAGTAGTAGGACTGGGTCGGGCAGATCCCCATCCACGGGAGGAAGATTCAAGAACAGCCGAGCAACACTCTGGGGACGCTGCCTCGTGCTCCTTGGGCTGCTCTTGAACGTTGGGTTGGCTCTCCCTCGCCCGTCTGCGGACTCCGCCTGCAGGAGGGAGGCCCTGCCCGACCCGACCCCAAGCTCGGCGCGCTCGCAGCGCGCCAGCCCGCCGGCGGCGGAGGCGCGCGCGCCGGAGCAGGGGGGCGGGGTGCCCTGCTCCCCGCGCGGGGGCCGTGTCCGCGGCCCCCCGGTCCCGCGCGGAGCCCGCGGCGGCGAGGGGGGGCGCGGGCGGAGCGGGCCGGGCCTGCGCGGGCCCCGCGGCGCCTGAGCCGCCCGAGGCGCGGAAGGCGGAGCCCCGGGCCCCCTTTCGCACTGTGGGAAAGAGTGGCGACGGGAGGCGTAGCGCCAGGGTCGGCCTCTGGAGGCCCTCGCCAGGCGGAAGTCGGGCCTGTCCCTCTGCAGGAGGAATAATCAAGAACAGTCGGAAAATGGTCTGGGGACGATGCTTCTTGCATTTTTGTTGGTTATTCGAGGGGTATTCTTTTGGGTATTTTTGATTTTTCGTCCAGAGTCCGCCTGTAGGGGGACATGCCCGACCTAACGCCAGGCCTCGGGACCGTCAAAAGACGACTTGGGTCGAGAAACCAGTCTTGAGGAAGGGGTCCAGACCCCTGGGGGTCGCCGCTGTGGAAAAATCACGGCGTCGAGGGTCTGGGGCAGGAAGAGGAGGAAGGAGGAGGAGGGTGGGGTAGGAGAGCGGCGAGGAGGATCGAGGATCGAAGTGCTCAGGCGTCGTTGTGTTGCCTCAAAAGGCGTCCAGGGAGGCGCTGCATGGTGATAAGGAGGAGAAAGAAGAGGAGGGTAATACTGCAAACGGTCATATCTCGAAGCATGCGCGAAATGCGAGTGTGTTCTGCTTCAAAGCGTTATCATGTTTTTCTGGAGGTCGCCGCGACGATCTTCGTCAACAAGAATTTCAAGATTACTGGCGACCGTGTTGGCCTCACCCGCAGCGCGATCTTGCTTGTCTTGTTCATCGTGATCCACGCTGTCGGCAACCTCCACGTATTCAAGGGCCCCGATGACTTCAACGGCTACGGCTATTTCTACGTGCGCCTGTACTGGACCGGCTTCGGGCTCCCTGCCAACATCGTGGAGGAGTACATCTTGCTTTCCGTCCTCCTGCACGTGCTCGCGGGCCTCAAGCGCACGTGGGATTCGTCCCTCAGCAGGTTCAAGGCTGACAAGCGAGCACTCGACCTCGCCTGCACGGGCCTGATCCTGCTCACTTTCATGACCGTTCACCTGTTCCAGTTCCGCTTCGGCAACACGGACCAGTTTGGACCGTACATGATCCGCCCCCCTCCCTACCTCATCAATTTCTGGGGCGTGTTCGAGCTCGACCTCTTCTGGACGAAGGACGCCTCGATCCAGCCAGTGGGGGTTCGCGACATCTACGCGCTCGAGTTCAAGCTCTTCAACGATTCCATCGCCCTCAGCTTCTTCTACATGTTTGCGGTCGTCGTGTTCATGGTCCACGGCTGCCTCGGCTGGAAGAAGCTCGTCCCGGCCTCGGCCTTCGGCATCCCGAAGAAGCACCAGCCGATGGTGACCAAGTACGGCTACGCCATCTTCATTGGCATCGGCCTCGTCTACATCTCGTTCCCGTTGTACTGCCTCCTCACGGTCCCGTTCAACGGCTACGAGAAGGCAGGGCTCAGAAGTCAATGCAGAAAGTGTTTGTATACCTCCTCTTTCTCCTTGACGTCGTCGTCTCCCTCCTACTGTTCCTCCTAATATCGGTCCTCCTTTAAGCACGGCTCCTCGGACCTGTCCCGCGGCGCGTTCTAGCCATGATTTCGAGGCGAGTTCAGCCGTTGCGACGAGGGCCCCTTGCGAAGCCAAACAAGAACAAAAGACGTTCGAGGCCTTGGCGTTTTTTCGTTACCCCAAGCAGCCCATCCAGCAACGATTCCCAGTCGATTTGTCGGGAGAAGGAAGTCGATAAGCATCCAGTTAAACAAGGAGGCCTGCAATTGCCAATTCATGGATCAGTGGGAGCTTCTCGGAGGTCTCTCGGAGCTAGCAGGTGTTGATATTGGACAACGTTGGAGCCTTCTTGGACGATCTGGTGTTCATCCGGGCTCCCTTGGGCTTTCGTGGAGCCATCTTGAAGTCTCAGAAGCCCACTCCAGAGCGAAAAGTCGAGACGGTACAGGACGTTGAAACATGCATGAAGTGTTTGGGTGGTTTGGGCACTTCGGGAGCATCCTTTGGAGGCTGAGTGGCCACTCGGAGCCGTCTGGCGGCCTCTTGGAGCCATGCTAGAGGACATCTAAAGCCATACTGTGCCATCTTGGAAGCCGCCTTGATCTATGTATGGGCCCATGTTGGAGCCATTCAGGATCTGGCGCCATCTTGGACGCGCTGGGGGTCCAGTTCCCAACAGGAATGCCTCAAGCCATGCCACCCACTCCCACCCACCCTCCCACCGCATAGATAGTACCTCAACACGGGCAGCGGACGTCACAACACAGACGCCAGGTGTGCCACGCTCGCGAGGTGCGCCACGCGCCCCAGGTGCGTCACGCGCGCACAGGTGCGTTGCAGTCAGCCCGAATAGTAAGGATGGGCAACCGTCCCAAGGGTACCCTTGCATCCTTGCCTCCTCGGCCCATCCTTGGCCACTTTCGTTGGCCGCGCCCCGCTCGAAAAGCTTCGACGTGGCCTTCCAAGGCCCTTGCATCCTTATCGCGCGTCCTTACCATACTGGTTGACTGTAGCTGTCCCAGGCCCGAGCGCGCCAGATGCGCAGCGTGGGCCAAGAGCACCACGTGCTCTAGCCGCGCGATGCGCGCAGAGCGCGGCAGGTGCGCTAAACTACGTGATTGCACACGGACTGGGCAATATGGCAATATGTCGACACCACAGCCAGCTCGTTCGCAAGTCAATGCAAAGTCAATGCAAAGTGATATTAACATGGTTTGGCCTCTCCGCTCCAAACGCACAAGCGCTCAAGCGTGAAGCACAAATCGTCTCGATAGGAACCAGCCTTCGGAAACATGGTGTGGTGACGTTAACCTGGCCGACTAAAAAAAAATGCAAAATGGTGGCGGGGTGGTCACGACGGTGCATGGTGTTGACGGGGCTGGTCAGCCATCCCCCAGCAGAAAATACGTAGGCACCCTCAGCATCCTTATCAAGAGTTAGATTTGGCGCCCGCGCAGGGAGTAGCGTCTACCGCAAACGAACTTTGAGTTTTCCTTGGTGCGATGAAGAGAGGAGCCCTTTGTGTGTCGGGTCGGCGGTCACTCGAGAGGGGATGGGGGCCTCTCTTAGGGAGCAGAAATAAAACCCTCTCCGAGGGGTAAGAAGGAGGGGCGATGTGGCAGAACGCTGCAGCGCTTGATTGCGCACCCCCCAAAGGACATCAACACCGGCCGCATCGAGACTGGAACCATCTGAGCCCCGGGCGCACCGCGCAGCGTTGTGGCCGCCCCAGACGCGTGAGGCTCTATCTCTCTCTCTCTCTCTCTCTCTATCGACCCCCTCGCTCTGCATTCGAGGTTTGTTTTGGGAGGATCCAGGCCTCCCAAATGGGGTCCGAGTAGATGCGGTCGGAGGATCGCGCCGCATCGCCGATGCATCGACATGCGGCTTGTTGTGGAGCACGACTTTCTCCACGCCGGCGTCGCCCCGGTGAGAGCCCCAAGCAGGGGTAGTCCTTCCCCCTTCTCAGCAAAGTCTCGCCATGAAGAAACGGGGTCTCCAGGGAAAAGGGGCTTGCGGGCTTTTCGTCGTTGGTGCCTGGGAAAGTCCAAGGTCCATGATCCGTTCCCCTTAGCAGTATCCCCCCTCGTGCCCAGAGGAGAAGAGACAGGGGAGGAGGAGGAGGAGGAGGAGCAGAAGGAGGACCAGTGTAAACCCAAGGCTCATCAACGATGTTGGAATACACCCTCCCTCCAAGCTCCCTCTTCATAGGCCCCTTCGAGAGTTCAACCCCACTGAGGAAATTGCCCTGTTGGGGCACATCCGTGTGAAAATCCTGAGGCTTGCCAAAACACCATTCTCGGGACTTCAACGCCACGAGTTAATTTGACTGTTACATCGAGGCGTTCCTGAATCGCGCCAGAACACAATACCTGGGACTTCAACACCGCGAATCAAGGTAGCTGCTGCGCCCTGACAATCCTGAGCCACTCCAAAACAATGTGTTTTGTATGTTGGCCATGGGCACCAATCGAATTCTTGCAAATGTTTACAACGAATGTGCGCGGTGCACAGGCGAGAGCCACATGTTGAAAAGGAGCCGCCCTCAACCCGTGTAACTCTTGCAAATCATTAGCACGAATGTGCGCGGCGCTGAGGCGAGAGCCACTTTTAAAAAACGATCCGCCCTCAATGCGTGAAACTCTAGCTATTTGTCCCAGCCAACTTGTTGCTGGGTCCTCGTTTTGAAGAGACAGCGACCCGCGTCACTGCTCCTCGCCTCCTCTTCCCCCATCCTCCCTCCCCCTCCTTGCCTCTGCCTTCCGCATGTTTCTGTTTCGACACACTCCTCACACGTTCTGCGGCCCCATAGGGAGCTCCACCGAAGGCGCCAGTGGGAGGGCTCGCATGGCACCACCGCCCCATTTCGGCACGTCCCTCGCACGTTAAGTGGCCCCATAGGGAGGAGCTCCACCGCAGGCCTCAGCGGGAGGGTTCGCATGGCACCCCCGTCCAATTTCGGCACACCCTCACACGTTTCGCGGCCCCATAGGGAGCTCCACCAAAGGCGCCAGTGGGAGGGCTCGCATGGCACAGCCGCCCATTTTCGGCACACCCCTCACACGTGTCGTGGCCCCATCGGGAGTTCCACCTGAGGCTTCAGTGGCAGGGTTCGTATGGTATAACCGCCCCGTTTCGACACACCCTTCATACGTTTCGTTCCCTCGCTTCCACATAGGGAGCCCCACCGCAGGCCTCAGTGGGAGGGTTCGCACGAACCCAACACCCAGTGTCGGCATACCCTTCACACGTTTCGCGACCCCTTAGGGAGCTCCACCAAAGGCGCCAGTGGGAGGGCTCGCATGGCAACACCGCCCCATTTCGGCACACCTCTCACACGTTTCGTGCCCCACCGCAGGCCCCAGTGGGGGGGGGGGGTCCCATGGCGCCGCCGCCCCATTTCGGCACACCCCTCGCACGCTTCGTGGCCCCACAGGGTGCTTCATCTAAAGGCCGAACTGGGAGGGTTCGCATGGCACCACCGCCCCAATTCGGCACGCCCCTCGCACGTTAAGTGACCCCATAGGGAGGAGCTCCACCGCAGGACTTAACGGGAGGGCTCGCATGGTACCACCGCCTAATTTCGGCACACCCCTCACACGCTTCGTGGACCCATAGAGGGTTCCATTTGAGGTCCCAGTGGGCTGGTTCGCATGGCACCGCCGCCCAATTCCGGCACACCTCTCACACGGTCTGTGCCGTTATAGGGAGTTCCACGCAAGGCCCCAGTGGAAGGGTTCGCATGGCATCGCCGCCCCATTTCGGCACAACCTTCACACGCATGGCGGCCCCGCCCCATCTTGGCGAAATTTTCCCACGCTTGGTGACATCAGGAGGAGATCCACCGAAGGTGATGCTCACTACGACGGTACTCACAACTGCATATGGTTAGGTCCCTCGCCAGGGTGAGTGAAAACGAATGTGCGCGGCGCTAAGGCGAGAGCCACTTTTAAAAAACGACCCGCCCTCAATCCGTGAAATTCTTGCAATGTTTCCCAACCATCCTGTGGTGTTGGCTCCTCGTTTTGAAGAGACGCCGCCCCGCGTCACTTGGCCTCCTCTCCTCCTCAGCCCCCTCCTGCCTCCTCCCCCATCAGTATGCAGTTCTCCCACCCAATACAGCCCATAGTGGCCCCATACGGAGCTCCACCTGCGGCCCCAGAGGGAAGGGTCGCATGGCACCACCGCCCCATTTCGGCACACCCCTCACACGTTTCGAGGCCCCAGAGGGAGCTCCACCTAAAGGCCCCAGTGGGAGCGTTCGCATGGCACTACCGCCCCGTTTCGGCACACCCTCACATGCGTCGTGGCCGTTAGAAGCCCCATGGCAGGCCTCAGTGGGAGGGTTCGCATGGCACCACCGCCCCTTTTCGGCCCACCCCTCACACGCTTCGTGGCCACAGGGAGCTCCACCGCAAGAGCCGGTTGGGAGGATTCGCATGGCACCACCACCCCAATTCGGCAAACCCTCACACGTTTCGCGGCCCCATAGAGAGCTCCACCAAAGGCGCCAGTGGGAGGGCTCCCATAACACCAACGCCCAATTTCGACACACCCCTCACGCGCTTCGTGCCCCCATAGTAGCGTGCTCCACCTAAGACCCCAGTGGGAAGGTTCGCATGGCAGCATCGTCCCATTTCGGCACACCCCTCGCACGTTTCGTAACCTCATAGGGAGCCCCACCGCAGGCCCCAGTAGAAGGGTTCGCATGGCACCACCGCCCCATTTCGACACACCCCTTACACGTTTCGTGGCCCCATAAGAATCCCCACCGCAGGCCCCAGTAGAAGGGTTCGCATGGCACCAGACCACCGCCCCATTTCGACACACCCCTCACACGCTTCGTGGCCCCATATGGACTTCCACCAAAGGCCCTAAGGCTGCGCTCGCATTGCGCTACCGCACCCATTTCGGCCCACCCCTCACACGCGTTCTAGTCCGCCCACCGTGCCCATTTCGGTACATCCCTCACACGCTCCGTGGCCCCACAGGGAGCTCCACTGAAGACGATACTTACAACTGCGTTATTCGCAACGGCATATCGCCAAGCTAACTTGCAACGAATGTGCGCGGCGCTGAGGCGAGAACCACATTTTAGAAACGACCCGCTTTCAATCCGCGAAACCCTTGCAAATCTTTAAAACGAATGTACGCGGCGCTAAGGCGAGAGCCACATTTTGAAAACCACCCGCCCTCCATCTGTGAAACTGTCGTCAGTGTTCTAGCTTCAGGCTCACAAGTGCTGAGGAAGTCTCAGGCGAAACGCCGGGCCCGCCCTTCGACAGGCTTCGGGGTGCGGCAGTGAGAAATTGTTCGCAAGGGAAGGAGAGGAGGCGGAGGAGGAGGAGGAGGAGGAGGAGGAGGAAGAAGAAGAAGAAGAAGAAGAAGGAGAGGAGGAGGAGGAGGAGGAGGAGGAGGAGGCGTGGGTGTACCGAGGCACCAGGGCGATCGCGGCAGCGGCGGCCAGGGACCGGCGCAGGGCCCCGCAGGGGCGTGAGGATAAGCGGCGGCTCGCGGCCCGGGCGTGCAGGGAGCCGCCCCGCGCGCCGCGCCCCGCGCCCCGCGCGAGGTGTCGGAGCCCGGTGGCCTGCATGCGGCAGGCTCGGGCCGCGCCGAAGTTCCGAGAACGCCGGGGAGAGCATGCCACCCAGCAATCATTTGGGGATCACGCAACGGGGCAGCAATCGCCTGCGGAGTCTGGGCAGTACTCACCTGGGGATGACGTGGCGGGGCTCGGCGCTGACGGGGCTCGGCCAGAGCGCCCAAGGCTGCTAATGACGCTAGGCTGCGCCACTCCCGACCGGCCCGGAGGCCGTGCCAATCTAGAACTCGGGGTTTGTGCCGAGCCGAGTTTGGGCGGAGCCGGGTTTGGGGGCCGCTCGCGGCCTTGGAGGTGGCCTCACGGATTGGCCGAGCCAGGTTTGGGAAGCCCAGCAGAGTTTTGCAGCACATGTTTGTCCAAGTTGGGCGAGCCTGGGTTGCGCTGAGCCGGGCCAGTGTGCGCTCCATGCCCATCATTTTTCGCCCTTGGGGGAGCTGCTTGGGGCTCTCGCCTCGGCTGGGCTCGCGGAAGTGGCGACGTCTGCGTGTCGACGCGGCAGCGACCCCCCGCCCGGGCGTTCAAGGCTGTTCGCCGCCGATGGCCAAGAAACGGCCGATGAGGAACGATCTGGGCTGTCAGCAAGTTGGGGTCGTGCAAGTCGAGCAGTGGCGAAGCGTCCGGGCGTGCCTAAAGGCCTACCAAGCAATGTTCTCAGAACCATTGATGGTTAGAACATTTTTGGCTGGGACTGTCTTGTTTTGACACATCGGCTTTATGTTCTAAGAGCATTGTTGTTTGTTCTTGGAACATTTGGGGGGTTCTACGAACATTTTTCGTGGTAGGCCGATAGGAATGCTGGGACGGTCGGTCTCTGCTCAAAAGTTGGGGTCTTGCAAGGCCGAACGGCTCGCGCGGGGTCCGGAACCACCGTTCGTTCGGCCCAGCGCGGCCGGAGCAGGCCGTCGGCAGTTATCGCAGCGTTCGGTGAGCACCCGTCGGCGGCGCGCCAAGAGGGGAAGCGAGAGAGGGCAGGCCTGCCCACAGGGCTCCGGAGGCGGCGGGGCTTCCCAGAAGCCCTCTGGCCTGCTAAGGAGCCCCCCCCTCGGAGAAGGCTCGGAGAGCTTGTTCAGAAGGAGGGAGGCCTGCTGAGCGC